ACAGGAAAAAGACCAGACTGCCAACTTGTATTACTCTTATTGAACACAGTACCTGATGTCCTAGCCAAAACAATTAGGCAAGAGAAAAAAAACAAAGGACATACAAATTTGAAAGGATAATCTCAAATTGTTCCTTTTTTCAGGTGACATGATCTTATGTAGAGGAAAATCTAAGGACTCTATCAAAAAGCTCTTTAAGCTGCTAAGCAAATTCAACAAATTTGAAAGATACAAAATTAATATATAAAAATCAGTAGCATTTCTCCACACGTATAATGAACTAGTTGAAAAAGAAATAAAGTAACTCTATTTACAATAGCTATAAAAATCCCATCCAGAAATAAATTTAACAAAAGAGATGAAAGCTTTATCTGCAATGAAAGCGACAAAACACTGATGAAAGAAATTGAGGAACATACAAAAAATGGAAAGATATTTTGTACTCATAGATTAGAAGAATTAATATTATAAAAATGACTGATGAGGTTTGGATTTGTGTCCCCACCCAAATCTGAAGTCAAATTGTGATCTCCAGTGTTGGAGGCAGGGCCTGGTGGGAGGTAATTGGATCATAAAGGTGTTTCTCATGAATGGTTTTGCACCATCCTCTTGGTGCTATTCTTATGATAGTGAGAGAGTTCTTTTGAGATTAGGCTGTTTAAAAGTGTGTAGCACCCCCTCCTCTCTCTTGCTCCTGCTTCTACCATGTGAGACACTGTGCTCCCCTTTGCCTTCTGCCATGATTGGAAGTGGGGAAAGGACACCGTTTTCCAGAAATGGTGCTGGGATAATTCGCTAGTCACATGTAGGAGAATGAAACTTGATCCTCATCTCTCACCTTACACAAAAATCAACTCAAGATGGATCAAAGACTTAAATCTTAGGCTGAAACTAAAAAATGCTAGAAGATAACATCAAAAGTTTCTTCTAGACATTGGCTTCGGTAAGAATTTCATGACCAAGTACCCAAAAGCAAATGCAATAAATCAAAGATAAATAGCTGGGACTTAATCAAACTAAAGAGCATTTTTACAGCAAAAGTAACAGTCAGCAGAGTAAACAGACAACTCACAGAGTGAGAGAACATATTCACAATCTATACATCTGAAAAGGGATTAATATCCAGAATCTACAATAAACTCAAACAAATTAGCAAGAAAAAAAAATCTTATCCAAAAGCGTGCTAAGGACATGAGTAGAAAATTCTCAACAGATGATATAGAAATGACCAACAAACAAATGAGAAAATGCTCAACATCACTAATTATCAGGGAAATAAAAATCAAAAGCACAATGTGATACTACCTTACTCTTACAAGAATGGCCATAATAAAAAAATAATAGATGTTGGCATGGATATGGTGAACAGGGAACACTTCTACACTGCTGGTGGGAAAGTAAAGTAATACAAACAGTATGGGAAACAGTGTGGAGATTCCTTAAAGAATTACAAGTAGAACTACCATTTGATTCAGCAATCGCAGTACTGGGTATTTACCCAGAGGAAAAGAAGTCATTATATCAAAATGATACTTGTACATGCATGCTTACAGCAGCACACGTTGCAATTGCAAAATCTTGGAGCCAACCCAAATGCCTATCAATCAATGAGTGGATAAAGAAAGTTTGGGGTGTGTGTGTGTGTGTGTGTGATGGAATGCACTCAGTCATAAAAAGGAATAAATTAATGGCATTTGCAGCAACTTGGATGAGATTGGAGACTATTATTCCAAGTGAAGTAACTCAGGAATAGAAAACCAAACATCATATGTTCTCACTCATAAGTGGAAGCTAAGTTATGAGGATGTAAAGGCATAAGAATGACACAATGGACTTTGGAAACTCAGGGGGAAAGTGTGGGAAGTGAGTGAGGGATAAAAGACTACAAATTGGGTTCAGTGTTTACTGCTTAGGGTGATAAGTGCGCCAAAATTCTACAAATCACCACTAAAGAAGTTAGTCATATAACCAAACACCACCTGTTCCCCAAAAACCTATGGCAGTAAAAAAATTTAAAAAAAAAAAAAAAAAACACTGTGGAAAGTACTGACCTAGTATAATCTCTTTTAAAGTTTCAATATTTAAATATATAAGACAGTCAAACTAGCTTTATGGAAGTAACTGAGATAAAACTTGTTTTTCCCCCCAATTTTAAATTTTTATGTGTTTTTGTTGTAGTGTATATATTTATGGCGTATATGAGATATTTTAATACAGGTGTAAAATGTATTAAAACAATCACATCATGGCCTATTGGGCATCCATTACCTTAAGCATTCATCATTTCTTCATCGTATGAACATTCCAATTATACTTCCTCAGTTATTCTAAAATGTAGAACAAATAATTGCTGTAGTCCCTATTGAAAGTATGTGCATTTTCATTTGATTATCCCCAGTCACATATTGTTTACCCTTTGCTTCTTGTGTCTACATATAGATTATATTTGCTTAGTGTATCAGTTTGCTAGGTCTGCCATAACAAAGTACTACAGATTGGGTGGTTTAAACAATGGAAATTAATTTTCTCTCAATTCTACAAACTGGAAGTTTGAGATTAAGGTGTGAGCAGGCTTGATTGCTTCACTCCCGGTTTCCTTTGAGGTCTCTCCTTTTGGCTTATAGATGGTTGCCTTTTCACTGCATTCTCATATAGCCCTTTATATGTGTGTGCCCAATCCTGGTGTCACTACTTCTTCCTACAAGGACAAGTTCTATTGGATTAAGGATCAGTTCTATTGGTTTAAAGCATCATTCCTATAACCTTGTTTTACTTTAACTACCTTCTTAAAGCCCCCATCTCCAAATGCAGTCATACTGGGAATTAGGGCTTCAATATATGTGTTTTGGGGGTATATGATTCAGTCCATAATACTCTGTAAGATTATAAACTGCACCAAGGATATATATTTCCTTTGCAACCACACTAGGAAAGCTGGTAAAATCTATAATAAAGGATAGTCACTGAACACAAACAAATGAACTATTGAGATGAGGGTGGAGTTGGAAGATAGCATGTTTTTTTCAGAATAAGTCATTCTTATCTAACACATTGGCATCCTTTGAAGAAATGAATATCTAGATAAAGAATGTGTGTAAATAACAGAGTTGCAAGGAGCCGTGAAGATCGTCTAGTTCATCCTCTTGTTTTTCCAGTGAGTGCATTGATTGCTAGAAGACCATGGGCTTTGCATGGGATCACACTGCTGGTTACAGGCAGAGTTGAGAAGAGGTTGCAACCACTTACCCTCCCATAATATGCTACCTCTAAATACACTGATGAATTAGGAGGACTGATGAATGTAATCTACTCAGATTTTCAAAAAGTGTTTGTCAACTTTTAATCTTAAAGTTACTAAAACAAAGAGCTTCAGGGAGTCAGTTTTATTGAACTGTAAAACCAAAGAGTACAAAAATTAAAAGAAAGAAATGGACATTTATCATATTAAATATTTACATTATTTAGTAGATATCTATTATGTCCAGTAGGCCATGTGGTAGCTGGGCTTTTAAAATATAAACATTTTTAAAATTTATTTTTTAACAATTATTTTATATTTTATGGTACATGTAAAGGTTTGTTAGTAAATAAACTCGTCATGGGGGTTTGTTGTACAGATTATTAATCTGTACAGATTAATGAGAATTGGCTGCTCATTCTGATCATAAGATGGAGTAGATGGCTAGTCTTGATGTAGCTAGTATAAATAGAAGGCCTATGTTAAAATTAATTAGGGGGCCTGGTATGGGGAGAGGAGTTTATAAGAGGAGGACAATGGAAAGGGCTAAGGTTAGAGCAATAATGTGAAGGGTTATGGTAGATGTTGAGGGACTTAGAGGTTCTTTGATGAAAAATTGTATTGCATCAGCACATGATTGGAGCACTCTGCAGGAGCCTACCATGTTAGGTCCTTTGCATGGCTGTATGTAGCCTAAGATTTTTTGTTAAATGAGTGTTATAAATGCTATAGCAATTATAGTTGGAATAATTAGTAGGAGAATGTTAATTATAGGCATACTGTTAAGAAGAGGAGTTGAACCTCTGATTATAAAGTTTTAAGTTTTATGCAATTACTGGGCTCTGCCATCTTAAAAAGCCCTGTTCTTGGGCAGGATACGTAGCGGTTTGTTAGATTGAGATGATGTCATCCATTGGATGAGGGCGCTTTATAAAGTGGGCCCTATTTGTCTTGTGCTTTCAGACTGGGAGAAATATTGGATAGAAACTGACCTGGATTTCTCTGGTCTGAACTCAGATCACATAGGACTTTAATCATTCAACAAACAAACCCTTAATAGCAGCTGCACCATTAGGATGTCCTGATGGAACATTCAGGTCGTAAACCCTATTGTCGATATGAACTCTAGAATAGGATTGCACTGTTAACCCTAGAGTAACTTGCTCTGTTGATCAAATTATTGATCAGTGTGTGCTAGTTCACTTAGACTGGTGTGGTCTTAGTCTAGGTTGTTCAGAGGTTGAATTATACTCCGAGGCCACCCCAACCCAAATTTTTAATGCAGGGGTAGTAGGTTAGTGCCTTTAGGTCTTTTTGAGTATCATTTGCATTAATGAATTGAAGCTCCATAGGGTCTTCTTGTCTTATTTTTGTCTGCCTCTTCACAGTTAGATTAATTTCACTGATTAAAAGTAACAGACAGCTAAACCCTCTTGTGGCCATTCATGAAAGTAACAGACAGCTAAGCCATCTTGTGGCCATTCCTATTCAGTCCCTATTTAGGGAACAAGTGATTACATATGCTACTTTTGCATGGTCAGGGTACCGCAGCCATTGAACATATGTCACTGGGCAGGAAGTGACTCTAATACTGGTAGTGCTAAAGGTGATGTTTTTGGTAAACAGGCATGGCAAGGTTTGCTGAATTCCTTTTACTTCTTGTAGTCTTTCCTTACAGCATGCCTGTGTTAACAGTGTAAACAGTAGGATATTTAGTACACAGTTTATTAATATTGGGCTGTTAAACTGTCAGTGGTTATTCCAGTCTGATATAAGCTTATGCAATGGAGAATATTTTCATGTTACTTATATTAACATTGTTGCTTCTACTGAGTAATAGATTAGTCCAATGTAATGTTGGGAGTCAGTAAGGTGGATAAAGTTAAAAACAGATATTGAGCTTGAACGCTTTCTTAATTGGTGACTACTTTTAGGCCAATGATGATAATATCTTTTTTTTTTTTTTTTTTTTTTTTTTTTTGAGACGGAGTTTCACTCTTGTTACCCAGGCTGGAGTGCAATGGCGCGATCTTGGCTCACTGCAACCTTTGCCTCCTGGGTTCAGGCAATTCTCCTGCCTCAGCCTCCTGAGTAGCTGGGATTACAGGCACGCGCCACCATGCCCAGCTAATTTTTTGTATTTTTAGTAGAGACGGGGTTTCACCACGCTGACCAGGATTGTCTCGATCTCTTGACCTCGTGATCCACCCGCCTCGGCCTCCCAAAGTGCTGGGATTACAGGCGTGAGCCACTGCGCCCGGCCGATAATATCATTTTTTACTCTCTGGGAAAAGGTTGTTTCCTAGGGTCTAAAGAGCTGTCCCTCTTTAGACAAACAGTTAAACTTACAGAGGGATTAAGTAGTTCTGTGGGTAAGTTTAAAATTGAACTAAGATTCTGTATTGGACAACCAGCAATCACCAGCCTCTATAGGTTTGTTGCCACTACTCATAGATTTTTCTCACTATTTTGCCATATAGATGGGTGTGCTCTTCTAGCTATCCTTGAGTAGCTCATCTGGTTTTGGGGGACATTGCTATGGTTCTCTATGTAAAGTTATTTCTAGTTAGTACACTATGCAGAAAGTAAAAGGATTTATCTTTGCTTTTTAATGCTTGATTTAGTTCTTTCATCTTTCCCTTAGAGTACTGTATCTATTGTGCTGCGGTACAAATTTCTATCACCTATGCTTTTATTTAGGGTAAATGGTTTGCTTGAAATAACTTGTTAATATTATTTATAGGATTAAGGGCTAGAGATAGCTCAAAGTGATCAGGTTGTGATGAAATCTTCTGGGTGTAAGCTGGTTGCTTTAGGTTAAGCTACACTTTGTTTTGTCCAAGCTCACTTTCCAGTACACTTACCATGTTATGACTTATATATGAGTAATATAATCTTAGTAATATAATCTTAGTATTATAATCTCTAGAAAAATATTTGAGGAGAGTGATGGATAGTGTATGCATGCTTCATGGCCTTATTCAACCAAGCAGTAAATCTTGGTTTACTGCTAAATCCTCCTTGGGTCTTTAGATTTCATAAAGGTTATCATGAGATTTTCTAAGTGATAGAAAATGTAGCCCATTTCTTGCCACTTCATGAGCTACATAATGTTTTTATGTATATACATACACTTACTTTGTTAGGGTTTGCTGAAGATGATGGTATATAGGCTGAGGGCAAGAGGTGATGAGGTATATCAGGGTCTATCAATTATAGAATAGGCTCCTCTAGAGGGATATAAAGCACCGCCAAGTCTTTTGAGTTTTAAGCTGTTGCTTGTAGTGTTCTAGTGAATGGTTTTGTTAGTGTAACCATTAAAGTTTAGGGCTAAGCATAATGGGACATCTAATTCCAGTTTGGTTCTTAGCTATTATGTCTTCAGGGAACTAAAGCCACTTTCATAGAATATTTTATTTTAGCTGGGGTTTTTCACAACTTAGATGGAGATTAGCTTTATTGAGAATAGGCCTTAAACACTCTTTACACTGAGTTCTATTATCTGTAGTTAATCGTATGGCTTCAGTCGCTGGCACAAAATTGACCCACTTTATAGATTAGTGTAGCTTAGTTGAACTTTCATTTATTGCTAAGTTTTGTCACTGCTGTTTCCCGTGGGGTCATGGCTGAGTAAAGTGTTTTGAGCTGAATTTGTGTACTTGCTCCTTTTGTTTTGGGCAACCTAGAGGACATTTTCATTGGGGTGGGGATGCTTGCATGTGTAATCTCACTGAAAGTTAATAGAAAGGCCAGGATCAAACCTATCTATTTATGGGGTTGTGTGAACCCATCTAGACATTTTCAGTGTCTTGCTTTGAAGGGTTAAGCTACATTAACTTTGTAGGTGTATGAAAATGAAGTTGCAATAGGAGGAGAAAATATTGTAGGTGGTTATTTATGGGGGCTTCGACTTGCAGGTTGGAAGTTGAGTCAGCAGAGATTTGGTTAAGAGGACTATTTAAAATTGGGGTGTAGTTGCTTTACAGTATGAGATATAGGTGTATTTCTGAAGAGTTCTATATAAGGTGTGACAGTAGTATTAAATAGTGGCTGAGTTGTATCTGTTGTGAAAAGTGGAGTATTGGTTTAGTGGGGTTAGGAAAAACTAAAAAAAATAGCATCAATTGAGGGATAGCTGTTGAGATTGGCCACATCTAAAATAGAATTTTCAGACTTTTCTAGGCTGTATCTAGTCTCTTGTTTTTGACAGTGAAGTGAAAGTACTTTTTCCCTGATTGTCCTGGAAAGAAGGATTCTCTATTTCTGTTTTATAAGACCAGAGTATTGAACTATACTACAAGGACATTTTTATTTAAATACAATTGTTTTCTATTAGAGTGGTGAGTGGTATAAGGGTGAGGATAATTGGAGGTCCACCAGTCGATTATCTCTTTATTATCATCAGTTTGACCCTCAAACTAGATCAGCTACTAGAATTCAGAATAAGCATTGACTTAGTGGTCAGAATATTGTGCTTTGTTGTTTCGATATATGAAGTGTGAGAATAATTTCTAGGATGAGGATGGAGGGTATGAGGGCTAGGACACCTCCTAGTTTGTTGGGGGATGGATCATAGGATTGTGTATGCAAGTAAGAAATACCATTCTGGTTTAATGTGGGGTGTTGAGAGAGTTAGCTAGGATATAATTATCTGGTTCACTCAGAAGGTTGTGTGAGAATAGTACAAAGCTTACTAAAAGGAGGAGAAGAAAAATTAATCCTAGAATGTCTTTAGTTGTGTAATAGGGGTGAAAAATGATTTTTGTTAGGGTCTGATGAAATTAATGAGGGGTTCTTTGACCCTGTTTCATGTAAGAATAAGAGGTGAACAGTTGCTAAAGTGGCAGTGATGAAAGGTAAGATGAAGTGGAAGGTGAAAAATTATGTGTAGGTTGGTTTGTTGACTGAGAATCAGCCTCAGATTTATTGTACAAGATCGGAACCAATGTATGGGATGACTGCTAATATATTTGTAATTACCATAGTGTCTCAATATGATATTTGGCCTCATGGGAGTACATAGCCTATAAATGCTGGTGCTATAGTTGTGAATAAGAGAATAATACCAATGTTTCAGGTTTCTAGAAATAAAAATGACCCATAATATAAGCCTTGGTCAATGTGTAGGAAAAGTCAAATAAAAAATATTGACATGTCATTGGCATGGAAATAGTGGATTATCCAACCATAGTATACATTTTGGTTGATATGGGCAACTGAAGAGAAGGCAGCCAAAGTGTCTGATGTGTAGTGCATGGCTAGGAATAGTCCTGTGGTGATTTGGAGAATTAGGCAGGCACTGAGAAGTGAGTCAAAATTCTATCATCTAAAGATGTTGGATGGTGTGCGAAGATCGATACAGGAATGGTTGATAATTTTTTTTAGTGGATGTGTTTTGTGGGTATTGATCTTTAGTATTCTTACAGTTGAAATATAACAATGGTTTTTCATATCATTTGTCATGATTATAGCCCACTTGGGAATAATGACATGTGCTTTATTTTCATTAAATATTCTTTTAGTAATAGGATTTATAGGTTTTTCTTTAAAGCCTTCTCCTATTTATGGGGGTTTAGGGTTGATTATTAGTGGTGCTGTGGGTTGTGGCATTGTATTGAATTTTGGTGGGGCTTTTGTAGGGCTTATAATCTTGATTTATTTAGGTGGTAGGATGGTTGCTTTTGGTTACACTGTGGCAATGGCTAAGGATTCATTTGGTGAATGGATGAATATGAAGGGATGGTAATTACAATTAATTTTAATGGCATGGCGAGTTGAATAATTCTTGAGGGTAATGGGCTGGGGTTGATCCATGAGGATTCTACAGGTGCAGCTGCTTTGTATAGTTATGGGGTTTGATGGATGGTGGTTACTTGTTGATCATTATTTGTAAGTATTCTTACTGCAATTGAACTTACTGGAGGTGTAGGTTAGAAAATCAACAATAAAGTTAGAATAGGTGGAATAGAGAAAGAGAGAAAACAAAGTTTAACTAGGCCTTTTTGAGTGGATGTAATGATGGAGGCAGAAATTTGGGTTTGTGAAATTTTTTTTGGTATAGACTTTTCTAATAAATTAGATCTAGTAAAAGTGAAGCCAGATTTTGGCTTGTGTGTAGGCTTGAGTAAGGGGTTAAACGGTGGATTGCGGTTGGGTAAAATCCTAGTATATTAGAAAAGTTCACGTTTTAATTGGAAAACTTAGTTTGAGGTTACTAGTTATGGGATTAAGTTCTATTGCTAGCAATAGGCCCAAGGTGGTTAAGCCTAGGGATGTGAGTTTAAGGTAGATTGGTATGGTTATTTCAGGAGGTGAAGTGGGAGAAATACTGTTGGAAATGAGAAATACAGTGAAGATACTACAGATGGCTAGGCATTTGTTTGAGTTAATTAGAAATGGGTTGTTTTCATTAATAGTAATAAGGGTTATGGAGCGAGGTTGTCCTATTAGAGCAAATAAAATAATGCTGCTGTACAGGTATTAATCCCAGTACCCAATTGTTATCTTTTCTGCTCCTCTCCCTCCTCTCATCCTTAACTCTCAAGTAGACCCCAGTGTCTGTTGTTCCCTTCTTTGTATTCATGAGTTCTTATCATTTAGCTCCCACTTAGAAGTGAGAACATGCAATCTTTGGTTTTCTGTTTCTGCCTTTAATAAATGGTCTAAAAAAAGTGATCATTTCAATAAATCAGCATTTGACAAAGAGGGATAGTAGTAAGGATTATGAGGGAAAAGGCTATAGGCAAAAATATGTTTTGAAACACTGAGTTACAGTAAAAATAATTTCTTTGGTGTCGAACTTCTCTGAGCCATTGCTACAATAATTAAAAATGAGAAGTTGATATATTCCTAAGCTTCTTTGACCAGAAAAGCTTCCTTTTATAGACTTCCTTATGAGAATTCTGTAAAGTAATTCTTTGAGAAAAATATACCAATTCAGTGAGAATAAAAGGTAGGAAGAGTCTGGGTGGCTAAAAACTTATTATTTATAAAATATACTTTAGTGTGCTTCATAGTCTTGTTACCGTCCTTTTCCCGTTAGTAGTCTCATCTATGGATTTTGTACAAATTTCTACCTAAGGTGAAAGGCCTATTTTCTATTTCTTTCACATTACTTGCAGTTTCTAGTACAGTGCTCTGCACATGTTAGGTGTTTTGTGGATGCTTGTTAATTGTCCATTTAACTTTGGTAGAGCAGGTTCAATGGTAATAACTCAGGGGTAATGCATTTAAAAAAACAAAACAAAGCTATTTGTTGTAGGCACAAAAATTACTCCACACACAAGACATGTCACATTACGTTTTTTTCTTTTTTTCCTTTCATACCTAGTCCTGCAGAAAATGTCACATTTAAAATTTTTCTTACTATCAACATAATTTGGACTTTGAGTTCTGTTCTTAGCTATCAATGTGATTTACTTCCCCTTTTGATGCTGCGCAAGAATCCCATGACTTACGAGATATATGGAGATTGGAGAAATTGAATCTCCAGTTCATCATGATAACCCCTGATGCCTTCATTTGCAAGACTGGATTTTCCAGATGAGTGCAATGTAATCACAGGTGTCCTTATAAGAGAGAGGTAAGAAGGTCGGAGTTAAAGGGGAGATGTGACAAGGGAAGCAGAGCTTGGAGAAAGAGGGAAGATTGAGAATGCTATGCTGTTAGCTTTGAATATGGAGGAAGGGGCCATGAGGCAAGGAAGAGGGTGCCAGGAGCCAAACAATAAAGGTGACATTTATTTATTTATTTATTTATTTTATTTCTTTTTTCTTTCCCATTTATTTATTTTATTGCATTTTAGGTTTTGGGGTACGTGTGAAGAACATGCAAAATTGTTGCATAGGTACACACGTGGCAGTGTGGTTTGCAGCCTTCCTTGTCCCGATCACCTACATCTGGCATTTCTCCCCTTGCTATCTCTCCCCAGCTCCCCACCCCCCACCGTCCCTCCCCTATTTCCCCCCAACTGACCCCAGTGTGTAGTGCTCCCCTCCCTGTGTCCATGTGTTCTCATTGTTCAACACCCACCTATGAGTGAGAACATGCGGTGTTTGATCTTCTGCTCTTGTGTCAGTTTGCTGAATGATGGTTTCCAGGTTCATCCATGTCCCTACAAAGGACCCAAACTCATTGTTTTTGATGGCTGCATAATATTCCATGGTGTATATGTGCCACATTTTCCCTATCCAGTCTATCGTCGATGGGCATTTGGGTTGGTTCCTGGTCTTTGCTATTGTAAACAGTGCTGCAATGAACATTCGTGTGCATGTGTCCTTACAGTAGAATGATTTGTAATCCTTTGGATATATACCCAGTAATGGGATTGCTGGCTCGAATGGAATTTCTATTTCTAGGTCCTTGAGGAATCGCCACACTGTCTTCCACAATGGTAGAACTAATTCACACTCCCACCAACAGTGTAAAAGTGTTCCTATTTCTCCACATCCTCTCCAGCATCTGTTGTCTCCAGATTTTTTAATGATCGCCATTCTAACTGGCGTGAGATGGTATCTCAATGTTGTTTTGATTTGCATTTCTTTGATGACCAGTGATGATGAGCATTTTTTCATATGTTTGTTGGCCTCATGTATGTCTTCTTTTGTAAATTGTCTGTTCATATCCTTTGCCCACTTTTGAATGGGCTTGTTAGTTTTTTTCTTGTAAATCTGTTTCAGTTCTTTTAAATTCTGGATATCAGTCCTTTGTCAGATGGGTGAACTGCAAAAAATTTTTCCCATTCCTTCGGTTGCCGATTCACTCTAATGATTGTTTCTTTTGCTGTGCAGAAGCTGTGGAGTTTGATTAGGTCCCATTTGTCTATTTTGGCTTTTGTTGTCAATGCTTTTGGTGTTTTGGTCATGAAGTCCTTGCCTACACCTATGTCTTAAATGGTTTTGCCTAGATTTTCTTCTAGGGCTTTTATGGTGTTAGGTCTTATGTTTAAGTCTTTAATCCATCTGGAGTTAATTTTAGTGTAAGGTGTCAGGAAGGGGTCCAGTTTCTGCTTTCTGCACATGGCTAACCAGCTTTCCCAACACCATTTATTTAACAGGGAATCCTTTCCCCATTGCTTGTTTTTGTCTGGTTTGTCAAAGATCAGATGGTTGTAGATATGTTGTGTTGCCTCCGAGACCTCTGTTCTGTTCCATTGGTCTATATCTCTGTTTTGATACCAGTACCATGCTGTTTTGATTACTGTATCCTTGTAATATAGTTTGAAGTCCGGTAGTGTGATGGCCCCCGCTTTGTTGTTTTTGCTTAGAATTGACTTGGCTATGCGGGCTCTCTTTTGGTTCCATATGAAGTTTAAGGTGGTTTTTTCCAGTTCTGCAAAGAAGGTCATTGGTAGCTTGATGGGGATAGCATTGAATCTGTAAATTACTTTGGGCAGTATGGCCATTTTCACGATATTGATTCTTCCTAACCATGAACATGGAATGTTTCTCCATCTGTTTGTGTCCTCTCTTATTTCGTTGAGCAGTGGCTTGTAGTTCTCCTTGAAGAGGTCCTTTACGTTCCTTGTTAGTTGTATTCCTAGGTATTTTATTCTCTTTGTGGCAATTGTGAATGGAAGTTTGTTCTTGATTTGGCTCTCTTTAAGTCTGTTATTGGTGTATAGGAATGCATGTGATTTTTGCACATTGATTTTGTATCCTGAGACTTTGCTGAACTTGCTTATCAGTTTCAGGAGGTTTGGGGCTGAGACGATGGGGTCTTCTAGATATACAATCATGTCGTCTGCAAATAGAGACAATTTGACTTCCTCCTTTCCTATTTGAATGCCCTTTATTTCTTTTTCTTGCCTGATTGCTCTGGCTAGAACTTCTAATACTATATTGAATAGCAGTGGTGAGAGCGGGCATCCTTGTCTGGTGCCACATTTCAAGGGGAATGCTTCCAGTTTTTGACATTCAGCATGATATTGGCTGTTGATTTGTCATAAATAGCTTTTATTATTTTGAAATACGTTCCATCAATACCTAGCTTATTGAGGGTTTTTAGCATAAAGGGCTGTTGAATTTTGTCAAAGACCTTCTCTGCATCAACTGAGATAATCATGTGGTTTTTGTCTTTGATTCTGTTTATGTGGTGAATTACGTTTATAGACTTGCGTATGTTGAACCAGCCTTGCATCCTCGGGATGAAGCCTACTTGATCATGGTGGATAAGCTTTTTGATGTGCTGTTGCAATCGGCTTGTCAGTATTTTATTGAAGATTTTTGCATCTATGTTCATCATGGATATTGGCCTAAAGTTTTCTTTTCTTGTTGAGTCTCTGCCAGGTTTTGGAATCAGGATGATGTTGGTGTCATAAAATGATTTGGGAAGAATTCCCTCTTTTTGTATTGTTTGGAATAGTTTCAGAAGGAATGGTACCAGCTCCTCTTTGTATGTATGGTAGCATTCAGCTGTGAACCCATCTGGACCTGGGCTTTTTTTTGGTTGTAAGCTCTTAATTGCTGCCTCAACTTCAGACCTCGTTATGGGTCTGTTCAGGATTTCGGCTTCTTCCTGGTTTAGGCTTGGGAGGAGGCAAGTGTCCAGGAATTCATCCATTTCTTCCATGTTTATTAGTTTGTGTGCATAGAGTTGTTTGTAATAATCTCTGATAATGGTTTGAATTTCTGTGGAATCTGTGGTGATATCCCCTTTATCATTTTTTATTGCATCAATTTGGTTATTCTCTCTTTTCTTTTTTATTAATCTGGCTAGTGGTCTGTCTATTTTGTTGATCTTTTCAAAAAACCAGCTCCTGGATTTATTGATTTTTTGAAGGGTTTTTTTGTGTCTCTATCTCCTTCTGTTCTGCTCTGATCTTAGCTATGTCTTGTCTTCTGCTAGACTTTGAGTTTTTTTGATCTTGCTCCTCTAACTCTTTCAGTTTTGACGATAGGGTGTCAATTTTTGATCTCTCCTTGCTTCTCATGTGGGCACTTATTGCTATATATTTTCCTCTTGAGACTGCTTTAAATGTGTCCCAGAGATTCTGGTATGTTGTGTCTTCATTCTCGCTGGTTTTGAAGAACATCTTTATTTCTGTCTTCATTTCATTGTTTATCCAGTCAACATTCAAGAGCAAGTTGTTCAGTTTCCATGAAGCTGTGCGGTTCTGAGTCAGTTTTTGAATTCGGAGTTCTAACTTGATTGCACTGTGGTCTGAGAGACTGTTTGTTACGATTTCCGTTCTTTTGCATTTGCTGAGGAGTGATTTACTCCCAATTATGTGGTCAATTTTAGAGTAGGTGTGATGTGGTGCTGAGAAGAATGTATATTCTGTGGATTTAGGGTGGAGAGTTCTGTAAATGTCTATTAGGTTTGCTTGTTCCAGGTCTGAGTTCAAGTCCTGGATATCCTTGTTAATTTTCTGTCTGGTTGATCTGTCTAATATTGACAATGGGGTGTAAAAGTCTCCCACTATAATTGTGTGGGAGTCTAAGTCTCTTTGTAAGTCATTAAGAACTTGCCTTATGTATCTGGGTGCTCCTGTATTGGGTGCGTATATATTTAGGATCGTTAGCTCTTCTTGTTGCATTGATCCTTTTACCATTATGTAATGTCCCTCTTTGTCTCTTATGATCTTTGTTGCTTTAAAGTCTAATTTATCAGAGATGAGAATTGCAACTCCTGCTTTTTTTTGCTCTCCATTTGCTTGGTAAATCTTCCTCCATCCCTTTATTTTGAGCCTTTGTGTGTCCTTGCATGTGAGATTGGTTTCCTGGATACAGCACACCGATGGGTTTTGTCTTTTTATCCAATTTGCCAGTCTGTGTCTTTTGATTGGGGCATTTAGTCCATTTACATTTAGGGTTAATATTGTTATATGTGAATTTGATACTGCCATTTTGGTGCTAGCTGGGTGTTTTGCTCTTTAGTTGAGCTGGTACTTGTTGTTCCTTTATATGTGTAGAGCCTCTTTCAGGAGCTCTTGTAGAGCTGGCCTGGTGGTGACGAAATCTCTGAGTACTTGCATGTTCCCAAAGGATTTTATTTTTCCTTCACTTATGAAGCTTAGTTTGGCTGGATAGGAGATTTTGGGTTGAAAGTCCTTTTCTTTAAGGATGTTGAATATTGGCCCCCACTCTCTTCTGGCTTGTAGGGTTTCTGCTGAGAGATCTGCTGTGAGTCTGATGGGCTTCCCTTTGTGGGTAACCCGACCTTTCTCTCTGGCTGCCCTTAGTAGTTTCTCCTTCATTTCAACCCTGGTGAATCTGACGATTATGTGCCTTGGGGTTGCTCTTCTTGACGAATATCTTTGTGGTGTTCTCTGTATTTACTGGAGTTGAATGTTTGCCTGCCTTGCAAGGTTGGGGAAGTTTTCCTGGATAATATCCTGAAGAGTATTTTCCAGCTTGGATTCATTCTCTTCGTCGCATTCGGGTACACCTATCAAATGTAGATTAGGTCTTTTCACATAGTCTCACATTTCTTGGAGACTTTGTTCATTCCTTTTTACCCTTTTTTCTCCAGTCTTGCCTTCCCGTTTTATTTCATTGAGTTGATCTTCGGCCTCTGATATCCTTTCTTCTGCTTGGTCCATTCGGCTGTTGATACTTGTGCATGCTTCACGAAGTTCTCGTGTTGCGTTTTTCCACTCCATCAATTCACTTATATTCCTTTCTATTTTGTCCATTCTCGTTAGCATTTCGTCAAATCTTTTTTCAAGGTTCTTAGTTTCTTTGCATTTGGTTAGAACATGTTCTATAAGTTCACAGAAGTTTCTTACTACCCACCTTCTGAAGTCTGATTCTGTCATTTCATCACACTCGTTCTCCTTCCATCCTTGTTCCCTTGCTGGTGAGGAGTTGTGATCCCTTGTAGGAGGAGAGGTGTTCTGGTTTCGGGTGTTTTCATCCTTTTTGCGCTGGTTTCTTCCCATCTTTAAGGATTTATCCATCTGTCGACTCTGTAGTTGCTGGCTTTCAGATTGGGTCTCAAATCTTTCAGATTGACTGTTTGTTGATGATGTTCTGTTTGTTGATGATGAGGTTATTTCTGTTTCTTGGTTTTCCTTCTGACAGTCTGGCCCGTCTGCTGTAGGTCTACTGAGGTTCATTCCAGGCCCTGCTTGCCTGGGGTTCACCTGCAGCAGCTGCTGAACAGCAAGGGTTGTTACCAGTTTTCTTCTTCTGCTATCTTTGTCCCAGAAGGATACCCGCCTAGTGTCAATCTGATCTCTCTTTTATGAGGTGTCTCTTTGGATATGTAGGGGTCAGGGAGCTGCTTGAGGAGACGGTCTCTTCTTTATGGGAGCTCAAATGGTGAGCTGTGAGCTCTGTTGTTGTTCATTCAGAGCTGCTGGGCAGGTACCTTTAGGTGTGCTGCAGCAGAACTCATAAACTGCTTTTTGTTCCCAGGTGCTCTGTCCCAGGGATTTACGGCTTTATTTATGAGTTTCCGTTATGCTGCCGCCTTCTTTTTATTTTATTTTTTTCCTTCAGAGCTGCCCTGCCCAGCAAGGAGGCAGCCTAGTCACTGTCGGCCTATAGAGGCTTTGCTGAGCTGCTGTGGGCTCCGCCCCGCTGCCGAGTGAACTTCCCTGCAGTCCTGTTTATATGGGTGTAGTTAGAACTGCTTTGGCGATGCTGGCCCGCCTCTGTTATGGCGGAGTCTGTCTGCTGTGGCGGGTTGCCTTGGCAACGGCGAGCTGCCTCATCAATGGCGGGTTGCTTTGGCAACGGCGGGCTGCCTCAGCATTGGCCGAGTGTGTCCTGGTGGGCTGCCTTGGTAATGTCGGACGCCCCTACCCCACAGAGCTGGACTGTCCTGGGTTCAGCTGCGCTTGCTGTGAAAGTCTCAATCCAGAGTTTCTGGTTGCTGTTCTTTTGTGGGTGTGGGACCAGCTGAGCCTGATTGCCTGGCTCCCTGCCTCAGAGCCTTTTTTAAGTTGGTGTTCCAGTCGCCTGTTGAAGAGGCTCCAGGGTCTGTTTGTTTTCCCCTGCGGCCACTCACTGCGCTGGCTTAAACAGCGGCACTGAGGTTTGTGGCGCTTTTTTTTTTTTTTTGCCCGGGAATCTACTGTCCTGGTTCTCTGCTCAGTCCTCTTTTTGAACCAGTGAATGGGCGACTTCCCATGGCTCCAATCGCCAGCCAAAAGGGCACCCAGACCGGTGTATTTTGTATGGAGAACTGCTGCTCCAGGGTGCCGACAAAGCAGCCGCGGGGGGCAAAGCAGCGGCGCTGGCCGGCACAGCCTCGCTGGCCAAAACAGCCGCGCTGGCGACCATGGAGCTCCTCTGCCTGGGAATTTCCTAGTCTGTGGGCAATAAAAACGGGGCGTCCACTCACCCTCTTCACTTTCACTGGGAGCTGTAATCCTGAGCTGTTCCTAAATGGCCATCTTGGATCCGACCCAAAGGTGACATTTAATAGCTAGAAAGGTGAAGGAAATAGATTCTCTTCTCAAGCCTCCAGAAAAAATGCATTCCTTTTCTTCTGACATCTTGATTTTAGGGAAGTAAAACCCATTTTGAATTTCTGATCCCAGAACTGTAAGATAATACATTTGTGTGTGTGTGTGTGTGTGTGTGTGTGTGTGTGTGTGTGTGTGTGTGTATGTGTTTTGAGATGGAGTCTTGCTCTGTCACCCAGGCTGGAGTGCAGTGGCATGGTCTTGGCTCACTGCAACCTCCACTTCCTGCGTTTAAACAATTCTTCAACCTCAGCCTCCCAGGTAGCTGGGATTACAAGTATGGGTCACCACACCCAGCTAATTTTTGGATTTTTCATAGAGATAGAGTTTTACCATGTTGGCCAGGCTGCTCTCAAACTCCTGACCTCAAGTGATCTGCCCTCCTCAGCCTCCAAAAGTGTGGGATTACAGGCATGAGGCACTGCTCCTGGCCAATATTTGTGTTTTAAACTATAAAGTTTGTGCTAATTTTTTATAGCAGCAATAGAGAAACTAATACAGGTTTTCAGTATCTTGAAGCTTTGTGTTCTGCTATTTTCTTTCTAAACAGGTGTATGGTGGGCCTGGGGTTGTTGCATGGTGTCACTGCCCTTTGCCTTATCTCTGAGGTATTGCTTGGAACAGGAACTACTCTATGAATCTACAATGATGCTTTTCCATTTCCCCCTCTCCAATTCTACCTCTTTCCTCTGCTCTCATCAGAATAAAATCTGTTTATTCATCTCAAAATTATAAGGAGAGGCCTCCTTGGAATGGAGAAGGAAAAATTCTGTTTGAACAAATCACACAATAGCTCAATAAACCATCCTACCAAATGCACTTAGAGATAATAATTTCTAAGCTGTGTGTTTTGATCCAGAAAAGAATCTTAGAGACCTTCAACTGTTGGATTGATCAGTTTTTGTTGATTTACTTCTTGCCTTTCTCTTGCTCTTCAGTGAACTAAAAACTCCTTATCTACTACCCTTTATATGTGTATGCATGTGTGTATACATATGTGTATGTCAAGTTACTAAATATTACTATATATAAAATTTATAACATTGTAATGCAGCACATTAATTCATAAAAAGAAATGAAGATTTAGAATTTTTAATTTAGGATTTTTTTTTTAATTTTTCAAATTATATATTTGTATATGTGTGTGTGTGTGTGTGTGTGTGTGTGTGTGTATATCTCTTATTGCACTTTAGGTTCTGGGGTACATGTGCAGATCATGCAGGATTGTTGCATAGGTACATACATGGCAATGTGGTTTGCTGCCTCCATCCCCCTGTCACCTATATCTGGCATTTCTCCCCATGTTATCCCTTCCCAAAATCTCTACCCCCACTGGTCCTCCCCTATTCCCCCCAACAGACCCCAGTATGTAATGCTCCCCTCCCTGTGTCCATATGTTCTCATTGTTCAACACCCGCCTATGAGTGGGAACATGTGGTATTTGATTTTCTGTTCTTGTGTCAGTTTGCTAAGAATTATGATTTCTAGGTTCATCCATGTTCCTACAAAGGACACGAACTCATCGTTTTTGATGGCTGCATAATATTCCATGGTGTATATGTGCCACATTTTCCCTGACCAGTCTATCATCGATGGGCATTTGGGTTGGTTGCAGGCCTTTGCTATTGTGAACAGTACTGCAATGAACATATGTGTGTATGTGTCTTTGTAATAGAATGATTTATAATCCTTCCAGAAAATATTAGATATTGGTTGCTCTAGGAAAAGAGGGATGGAGTTAATATTTACTAAAAATATGTCCGGGTTTTATTCTAAGTGCTTATTCTTAGAAATAGTACATTTGTATAATCTAACTTGTGAAAACAGAAAGTTTGTGCTTAGTTTGAATCCTAATGAGATTCTTGGTTCTTTTCAAAGCCATTAATGATATGATTTTAATTTTCTCTGGAACTAGCTAATATATATTTTTA